CCTCGTTTTTCAGTTTTCAGGCTGAAACGACCGGGGCCTGTAGCTCCTAAGTTTTAGGCTTTTAGGCTGAATGTCCGGGATGGGTCCTACAGGGCCCGTGTGGCTACGCAGTCTGCCACAGCCCTGTACCAGAAGCTTCCGGTAGGCCCCACGAGGCTGAGCCTCAGTCCAAAGTAACAGGCCCATGGCCTGTGTCGGTTACCAGTACCCAACTGCCCTCAGCCTTTGTTCGGTCCACTTTGTGTATCCGGCCCAGGGCCTGCCTCAGTTACATGCAATGGAAGGCAGCCTGGGCCTGGGCGCTTCCAACCAACTGGCGCTGTGCAACTGCCTGAATTTCCTCAGTTGCATGGTGACCCCAAAAATGGCCTGTAGGGCCTCAGTCGTGCCTGCCTTCACTTAGGGCGGCGGACAGTGTGAAAAATAGGCCCTGTAGGGCATATCGAGGCTCTATGCCTCGCATTCCCTCCTCCATACTTCGATAGTCCTCTGAGAAGTTCAATCTTCGATAATCTGGCGCTTTCCTTTTCGGAGAGACTTCTCGTAGTGAGCTGAACCGAACTCGATACTGCAGCTTCGGTTTCGGAGGACGTCCTTTGCCTGTTGGTCTTGGAACTGGCATCTCCCCGTGGTCAACAATGTCGTCGATGTCGACCTCTCCATCCATGGTTGGGGGCAACATAGAATGACTTAAGGGAAACTGGTCAGTTTCTTTGAATGGTGCAAGCTTGGAGGAGTGAAAGACAGGGTAAGTGCGGAGATGACCAGGGATCCGAATGACGTAGGATGGCCCATCCGGATCTTCCCCAACAACATCTAGAACCTCCCATGGTCCAAAGTGTTGTGGCATGAGCTTACGGGAGATCCCGTGCTCCTGTCCCAGTTCTGAGGATTTTACCCAGACTTTGTCCCCTACCTGAAATGTAAAAGGACGGTGGTGCTTGTTCTCAGTTTCTATCATTGCGGCCTGTGCCTTGTGCATCTGTTCTACTGCCTGCTGCATCAGTTGTTCATAGCGATAGGCAAACTCAAGGGTGCCGGGTGCAGCAGCTGACTGATTGTCAGGTAGCAGAAAGTCTAGGGGCAGTCTGGGCTTGAAAGTCAGTAGCAGACTATTAGGACTAACTCCAATTGCGTTGTGGACAGCATTGTTATACAGGCTGGCGATGAGAGCAAGTTTCTCATCCCAGTTCACCTGATTGGGCTTGATGTAATGTCGCAACAAGTGTTGAACAGCGCGATTGAGTTGCTTTGCTTGGCCATTGGCCTCGGGATGGTTCCCAGAAGTCATCTGCAGCTGTGTTCCCTATTTTGCAGCTGCAACCTTCCACAACTCACTTGTGAATCGAACATCCCTGTCACTAACAATAGAGTTTGGGAGCCCAAAGTCTCTAACCCAGTTCTCTTTGAAGAGCCTAGTCACATACTCGGTCTCCGTTGTCTCCGGCATTGCAACTAACCTAGCGTACTTACTAAACCTATCCACGATAACAAAGATGTGTCTCATTCCACTCTTGCTGGTGACCAGCGTGTCCATGACGTCCATAGGCAGGCTTTCACCGGGCCTTTCCGGAATCGGAAGGGGCTTGAGGAGCCCAAGAGGGGCTTGTATACGGGGCTTGTCTCTATGACAGACCTGACAAGTCTCTACGTACAGCTTGGCATCTCTCATCATCGTGGGCCACCAGAACCGCTCAGCAGATTGGTTGCAGTCTTCTTGAAGCCAAAATGTTTGGTGGCATCGTGACACTCGCCTAGAAATAAACTACGCAAAAAGACTCTCTATTTGGCACACACAGGCGTTTATTCCCTTCCTTCTCAAGGAACAGAAGGCCAACGCAAACTCGGCAGAAGTGATTTTATCCTTCGCCTCGAGTCTGCGAATGATCTCAGACATAAACTGATCCTCGCGATAGGCTTCCACCATAGAGTGAGTAACATCGCCCGCAAGCCCAAACTTAGTGATCAGCGCACTGGAGAAGTCAGGCCTACGCGATAGTGCATCAGCAACCTTGTTGTACTCGCCCTTGATGTATTGGGGCTCAAAGTCATACTGCTCTATGACTTCAATCCAACGCTTCAGAGCGTCCAAGAGCACAGGTTGGGTTCTCATCCACTTCAGGATTTGGTGATCAATCTTGACGTAGAAGAACCTCCCAAGGAGGTAGTGCCTCCAATGAGTGAGTGCCTTGTAGATCGCATAAAGCTCCTTATTATAGGTGGACTTAGCCAACTTGTGAGAGGGCATCTTTTTGGACATGTACTCTACCGGCCTCAACTGTTTCCCCTCCTGCTGCGCAAGTACGACGCCTATGCCATATTGGCTAGCATCCGTGGTTACTACGAAAGGTTTGCCAGGATCAGGAAATTTCAAGACCTCATGATGCGTCAACGCGTGCTTCAGATGTCTGAAAGCAGCCTCGCACGTGTCTGTCCACTCCCATCGGGTGCCAGGGCGGGTCAGGTTCGTCAAAGGGGCGGCAACTATGCTATAGTTCTTCACAAAGTTGCGATAGTAGCCGGTCATCCCTAAGAAGGACCTCATCTCAGTCACAGACTGAGGACGCGGCCAGTCACGAATGCCGGCCACCTTCGCGTCATCGGGCTTCAGACCCTCCGCGGAAATCTCATGACCGAAGTACAAGATACGGGTGCGACCAAACTCGGACTTCTCACCGTTAATCTTGAACTTATGCTGTCGGAGGACACTAAGGACTTCGTCCAAGTGAGCCACGTGCTCCTCGAAAGTCCTACTAAAGATAAGTATGTCATCGAGATACACGATGACAAACTTGTCCCAGTAGTCATGAAAGATCCGATTCATCGCGTGCTGAAAGGTGCCAGGAGCATTGCAAAGGCTGAAAAGCATCACCACAAACTCGTACAGACCGTACCTAGTCTGAAATGCGGTTTTGTGCTGATCCTCGGGCCGTATAGCAATCTGATGGCACCCTTGCACTCGATCTAGCAAATCGTCGATGCGCGGTAGGGGCTCTCGGTTCTTGACAGTGATGGCATTGAGGCCCCTATAGTCAATGCACATCCTTAAAGTGCCCCCCTTCTTTGGTACGAATAAGATTGGAGAACCATAAGGAGAGACACTCGGCCAGATCCACCCCTTCTCTATGAGTTCCTTGAGTTGCTGGCGAAGCTCGTCAAGCTCGCCTGGAGACATCCGATAGATCCTACCCTTCGGGATGCTAGACCCTGGGATAATCTCTATCGCGTGGACGACCTCCCTCTCAACAACCCCTGTCGGATCTTCAAATACATCAGGGTACTTAGCAACTACTCCCTCTATCTCCGGCAGCATTTTCACTGGCTCGCCTGCTGCAGAGACATAAACTAGATACATACCCTCCTTCGGATTTTGCTTATAATAGTTATAGAATGCGGCCGCACACATGCATCCGTGGGACTCGATCAGACTACTATCTTTAAACTTACGTAATCTGGCGGTCCCCCCACGTGGCAAAGTGTGTTTGACCACTTTTCGGTCCCAGTCAAACTGGGGCTGTGCCACGGAGAGGTAGTACATGCCTAACAAGATATCCATAGGGAGATCATCGCTCACTAGGAACGAGACGTGATGTCTCAAATCCCCTCCCGCGTACGGGAAACAACATTCAACATCCTGGAGGTAGTCGTTGACTACCATGCATTGTTTGTTGGCACAGGTCGACTCCACAGGTTGACTCAGGCGCTGCACTTGCCCCTGTAAGCGCAGCCTCTCAACGCACGCGCGACTGATGAAGTTCCTAGTCGAGTAAGTGTCATAATAGGCCCCGACCTTGCGGCCGCCGATGACTATCTCCCTAACGAACATCTCACCCTTAGGGGCTTTGACCAATGCCGTCCAAGAAGCTAGCGGGTCTGATGTGGACCACTCCTCCTCTAGCTCCTCTAAGGACTCAAACACGTTCATCGAACAGAGGGTCGATGGGTCTGAACGTGTTTGCAGGACGACGATGGAGTCAGTAGCTTCGGCCATCTCTCGAGATGGTGAGGGTGTGTCCACCACCTCGACCCTAGCAGGAACGGCTACTATTCCTATTGGCCCGACGTGTTTCCCGGAGCAGTGCCAGAAGTGCTAGCCACATTGTTACCAACGGGAGTGGAGGACCCCAACGCCTGCCCCATCGTAGGCGGGATCTTCTCGATCACCTTTCTATTACGGCACGTGAATTGATTATGGCCATATTGACCACAACGAATGCAAGCTTGCCGGGTGTACCGGTCTCTCCACACATCCTCACTAAGACCCGCTTTCTCCCATGGATGAGCATTGGGGTCAACTTGACTCCTAGACCGAAAACCTCCACGACGTCTACCGACCGCCTTACCTTTTTGAGCTACGGCAACGACTACTCCACCCCCTGAAGCCTCTACGCTGCCAGCCTCTGAACCTACTCCCTCCTAGAAGTTGTCATCTAACTCGATGGTTGAACCATCGTTATCGACAAACATAATGCGACCCTTCGCCTTCTAGTTGGGAGGCAGTGACTTTTTCCTGCCATCCGTCGTGGGTGTCTGACCATGCCCTATCTTTGCTGCTTCCAGGTCTAGGGCCTTCTTGCTAAACGAGGGAAAGTTGTGCATATTGATGTAGGCCTCACCTGCCAACTGATTCCTGAGAGGCATAGGGAAGCATCTCAGGTAGGAGGTGAGTAAAACATGGGGGTCATAGCGAACCCCAGGGACACAGATCAGACGCTCTACAACGTCGGTGGCCTCTCTCACTGACTTAAACTGCCTCGTGTGCAGTGTCAGGATCGCGTCAGTAGCCTTTTGGGCCTCCTGCTGATCATGCCACCTGTCTTCCACCAGCTTAAGGAAGTCATCCAATTTTTGGGTGACCGCCCAAGCGCGAAAGTCGTGACCGTATCCCTGCAGCTGCACTAAACCACTCAACCATCGTGCTGCACTCCCCTCTAAATAGGAGGCAGCCACAAGCACTTCCTCGTGCGGCAAGGTAAGTTTGCACTTGACATAGACCGGCACTGCCCTCAACCAAGTGTCGAGGTCTTTGCCCCTCTTATCCCGTGTAAAGGGTTTAGGAGCGGTGATAGCCGACTTTGGTACCCACTGACTTTGTCTCGGTCCCTGCATCACTCCGGGCTGTGGACCCTATGGTGCAGGCTGCTGGGGCTGTGTACCCTGCGGCTGTGCAGGCTGCGAGACAGCAGGCTGCGAGACAGCAGGCTGCCCGCTTACGGCAACCTGAGACGGAGGTTGGGAGAACACTGTCTGTACAGGAACCTGCAAACTAGGACCTGCTGAGAACCCGCCTGTCAAAGGCATACCCAGGGAAACGGGTTGAACCGATGTTGGAGATGTATATGGGGATACCCCAGTCACCGGTGGGATAAAAGGAGGAGGATGTGCAATGGGCCAGGCACGGGGCCTGGACGGTGGTGGTGCCGCCTGCACTCGCCCGACTAACACAGCCTCTGCTGGATGTCGTGTAAGATCTCCATCTGGTGATCTTGCATCTCTACTACACTTAGCAAGACAGACCGTATGGTCCTCACATCATCCTCCATCTCTGCAGGGTCCATCTCCTCTAACTCACTGACGTCTGCTTGCCTCCACTGCATCCTGGTTCTTCTTCTAATCATTCTTTATTTTTCTGCCTTAGTCTCTCCCGAAGCCTGTTGTAGCTGTGCCTCACGATCAACAGCTCGCTGTATGGCGACCTCCTCGGGAGTCATCACTAAGGGCTAGCTTGCCATTACGTCAGTGGACTGACTCAGGGTCGGCGCGACCGTTGACCCTACAGATCCTGAACTACCAGCCTGAGAAGTCTGCTGCGCAGCAGTGGCCATGACTGCTGAAGTAGCAGCCTCGCTTACGAATGCCCTGCTTGCCTCTGCGGCCCTAGCTCTTCTCTGCTGCTGCCTCTCTCTCTGCTGGCGGAACAAGTATTTGTCGCCCTCTGGTCCTAATGCCAAATGGGCAATCGGGCGTCTAGCCGATCGCAAGAGCCGATCGTCCGGTTGTGGAACCTCCCTGTCACTCATAGGCTACAGCACTGTACAATACTTGCACTAGGACACTCAATCGATGCCTACCACAGTGACATGTTCAGACCGATTTATAATAAAATAAAATAAATAATCGGCGGCTATGTGAGAGACTAAACATTCGGGTCCAACAGGTAAGTTCAGATTCCTACAAACAAAACTATTTTTAGTTTGACTAGTTCTCGAACAGAATGCACAATGAACAGAAAACAATTCTAATATGTTGTCTATCAGATGGTAATGGTTGTACATCTAACTAATCAAAACATAAAAATAGAATCATCTGTGTGGATTGGGATAGTATGGAATTTTTCCCGAACTTGTCACCTGAAATCTACCCCTCCCTCAGTTCCTCTTGAATGTCGCTTGACGTCAGCGTCCCTGAGCCATCCAGAGAGCAGTGTGTGTCTAAAGGTGTGCAATCGGCCCACCCCTGTGCCCCGAGTCCTGCTGAGCTGGCCAGCTCTAGCACATTGTTTATCCTCGCGTGCAGCGAGCCTGACACTGACTGGCTGATCAAGAGGCTATTTAAGGACCGCCCCCAAGTGTCCTCAGGAATTATTTAACGTCGCAAACAGGACGACGATCACAGCCAGTGGTTTTCCCTGTCGGTGTTTATTTATAGACGCCCGGTTCTCGTCTCCCACATAGGGCTGGCCTGCCCCTCAGAACCCATCTAACAGCGCAGCGAGCCGAACAAAGGACAAGCAGCAAAGCATGCGTGCTCTACTCCTGGTGGGTTGGCATGTGACCGTGACCCAGCGCTTCGTCCAGGGCCCTTCAAAAAGCTCCGCCCATCTTCCCCCAGATGCTCCACGTGGCCGACTCTCAAGGTTGAGCACACTCGACTCCTCACAATGAGAGGGCTCTCAAGACGGAACACACATCCTCACGGTAAGAAGTGTCGAAGAGGGTAGATAAGGTTAAGAGCAACGTACCTCAAATAGCTGCCCCCAACCACAGAGATAATCTCAATAGATGACCTGACGCCGATTGTGATGACCAGTCATTGCTTCGGCACAACCAGCATTACACTCCGTTCCAGCTCAGCACCAATCGCACATCAGATAGTTCTCATCACACCGTCCAGAACCCACATTACACCACATAGCTTTCCTGGTGATACTCGTCACCTCCTGGGTCGCCACTTATCTTCGCCCTCCTCACTACACACGTCCCACGACACGGTCGCTCACCGCACACACCGCGTGCATGTACCGCATTAGGCAGAAGATAAGCGTCGAACCATAGCTCCGATACCAAATTGCAAGGAAGATGAGCAATAGCGAACTTCAGCAATCAAACAGCATCATACACATGAGACCAGAAAGTCGTGACCTCGAACGAGAAGCAGAATAGCATCACGAGTTTCACCAAATAAGAGCACACCAAAAGCTCATAATTGACAATGCTGGAATAGTCTCATCACCATCATCAACAAAGAGCCAATGTGGATATCCTATCTGGCGCTCAGCGCCCAGACTACAGATGGCAGATCCTATCTAGCCTACTCTACAATGCCGCTGATGACGTCCAATGCGGAGGCAGGCCCTTCCCTATATCGCAGTGGCCTGCTGCTGCGTGCCTTCGTTAGGCATGGGCCCTGTACCAGAAGCTTCCGGTAGGCCCCACGAGGCTGAGCCTCAGTCCGAAGTAACAGGCCCATGGCCTGTGTCGGTTACCAGTACCCAACTGCCCTCAGCCTTTGTTCGGTCCACTTTGTGTATCCGGTTCAGGGCCGGCCTCAGTTACATGCAATGGAAGGTAGCCTGGGCCTGGGCGCTTCCAACCAACTGGCGCTGCGCAACTGCCTGAATTTCCTCAGTTGCGTGGTGACCCCAAAAATGGCCAATAGGGCCTCAGTCGTGCCTGCCTTCATTTAGGGCGGCTGACAGTGTGAAAAATAGGCCCTGTACGGCATATCGAGGCCCTATGCCTCGCACTTGGCTCGTCTCTACTTGACTATACATGAGGAAGGCGCGAACGAACAGTCTGCAGACTCCTGCATCTGGTGTGGATGGGTGATACGCTTCTCTTTGGGTCAAGCTAGGCGGGTATTGGCGTAAAGCATGAAAAGGGACATTTGTCGAATGTTGAGGGTTCAACTGAGTGATGCAAGTCAAAGACCCATGAAACAGTCTGTCACAAGACTCACAACCCTCGGTCTCTTGTCATCCTCTCCCTTTCCGTAAGCATTACACTTGGGCGCGGCGGCTCTTTGTCTTTGTGACCGTCTGTTGTCATTTTGTACACCCCATGTTTGGAGAAGGTATGAAGATCCCCTGTTCGCTTGACCATTTGGACTTCGATTTCTTGAAGTTTGAACGCTAACAGCGTCTGAGAACCGGTGAACCATTCAGGTCGAATGGGACAGAGGGCTCGTAGCCTTTTTTTATGTGTAGGTGCCTTATATGATCGACAGAACACCTGGGCTCTAAACATTTGAAACTTCACAGTTCAAATTCGTTGCTTTCAAGGTCACTGGCACTGGGACATATTTGGAGCTATGATGTCAAAAACCTTTGAAGAGTTGTCAACCAACCTTCAAGGCTGAAATGTGAACATTTGTGCTCTCGTGTCCCTTCTTTCGAAATTTGATACCTTCGGGGAGAAGTTCGGACGTATAGTTGCTTGAACTTGCTTCTGTGTTTCATCGTTCCTTTTCCTGGAGGACTGCGTTAATTGAACTTGATTCTTGTTCGAGGAGTATTGCTTTTCTCTGTGAGACCCCCACTTTCAAGCCAAATTTGGCTCGATGTGGAAGTCAGGAGGTTATTGTAATATCCATGCATTGTTGGAGGCTGATGTGGACTATTCAGACTCTATAAACAATTTCCACCCTCCATCTATCCTTCCCTCCCTTCCTCCCATAACTCCCTCCCTCTGTCTGTCCCTACGTACGTATTTGCTCGCTCCCTGCCTCCCTCCCTCCCTCCCTGCCTCCTGCCTCCCCTCCTCCCTGTTATGAACTTGGTTGTTTGACGAATTTTCTCACCACTCACACACAGACAGTCTCATACATGCCCATACATGCACAAGAGATGGGGAGAGAGGAGACAGAGTCCACACTGCACACAGGTGAAGATAAACAGCGGAAGACAATTGTGCACAGTAGGGGAGAAGACACCCAGTGTTTCTCACTCTCTGACACAACTCCTAACAACCAATCACAAGAAAGAACCTGCGAAGATCACAATTGANTGCACAGTAGGGGAGAAGACACCCAGTGTTTCTCACTCTCTGACACAACTCCTAACAACCAATCACAAGAAAGAACCTGCGAAGATCACAATTGAAACTGTCACGGATGATGAGCCACTCACACTATTATCGTAACAGAGTTTGTTCCAGTATCTCGCCACACTCAGAAYTCACACCCCACTCTCTATCCTACACCCAGTTAGTAGCACTGCATCAGAACAGCCTCCCAGAGGCCAGCGCCAACCACCCTGATGAAGAACAGGTACTGCGATGAAGTCTTCAGTGCCGATGGACAACTCTGACGAAGGAACAGGCAGCTATGGCTGCCACCACCCACGAATGACCACTGTAGAGCCTCGAGACAGCCCGGCCATACGCAGATACCCCCAGGGRTAGATGCGCTGAGGATGCCCCAGCTATGGCAGACTCAGATGAGGYCGGCTATGGCTGTTGTTGCGGTCTGTCTCAGGATGCCGCYGGTAGACAGGTACCGCTTCCYACTCGCTTGGCTTCTCCAACRCTGCTCGCGAGAAATGAAYTGCCAAAAGTCCTGAACCGATGAGCCTAACCTATCTATAGACTCTCTAGACCTAGACCGGACTGACTGACCGACCGGTACCGTGGCTGTTTTTCGGCCTCTCGGCCTCTACCGGACCCGGCTATAGGCTATAAGACCGTCTAACAGTATAGGCCGC